TTTTCACGCATGGAATCCCTGTCCACATCTGTATCTTCATACAATAGTAAAATCACCCCCAAACTGTGCTAAATTTGGTCCAAGGATAAATAATAAGTATGGTTTGGGTAAAGCATCTGCGTCTAACTATATCATCCTATCAATTGTATTAATCAACTCATAGCATCACAATGTCCAACTTAATGCTAGTGCACATATAATATTAAGTTTTGCAAGGTTAAGTCTCAATCAGTCTAGTATACATCTTATCCACAGTTCATAAATTAACATCAAATTTCAAATTTAATCATTTTGTGTATTAGATAGTTTGGTCGGCAATGATGATTAAATTTGAGATTTGATATTGATTTATGAACTGTGGATAAGATACACACACACACACAAACACACGAAAATTAAAAACTCAAAGTTTTTTTTCACCCCCAAACTTACAACTGACGTTGTCCTCATTGTCATAAAGTATAAATAAAAATATAAAGGGATGGGGAAGAAAAGGAATAAGGTACTCGAATTTTTCTGTTGAAGGTGCGAGACACTATGTGTGACGGCTAGACAATCTTCTTCATCATACTTTTTCCTTGGTCTATGTTGGTTTGAGTATTCCGCGACGTCATGTTCCTACATATAGCAGTCAAATCAAGCATTAAAGATCAAATAACCTATAACATGTTTTACTTAGCCCAAACAATCGAAATAACCAACAATAAATTTAATGGCTTAAGGAGAAACATGATAGGATGGTGATACTCTAGAAATTGAAACGTGCCTAAATCTAATATAAACTAATCATCAAAATAAATTTATATGCAATACGGTACAGAAAGAAGAATAAATAAAAGGGTTAGGAAATTGGGATGCCTCCTAATAAGCGCTTAATTTATAGTATTTAGTTAGACTGTATGGATAAATTGATCATGGTGGCTCATGCTGGAATCTTGAAACCTTACATTCCTTACAATTTTCAGTTTTACATCCTTTTTTCCCCTCCAAACCTTGAGCTCTCTATTATCATCTTGTCCAAGGCTCCCTAAACATTTATGTTTTATCTCATTTGACCCTTGTTGAACTTCTTCACCAACAGATTTGGCTTCTTCTGGGACTAATCATTGCTTGAGTGAATTATGTAATTTAAAGATCTCATTTGCATCCTCCAACCTCACAATCAGCTCACCCTTCTCCATGCCAATCAAAGTTCGATTTGTTGCTAAAAAGAGTCGACCTAAGATAATTGGCATATCGTGGTCGTCTTCGAGGTCCATAACAAGGAAGTCCACGGGAATATCAGCTTTCCAACCTTGATGAGCACATCCTCAAACTTGCCCCACGGATATTGATGCTCCTATCTGCTAGCTGCGTGTCACATTCGTTGACTTCCCTAACTCCTAGTTTCCTAAAAGTTGACAAAGGCATTAAATTTATAGTTATACTTGTATCATATAAAACATTAAAATGAAATTATTTACCTAGTAAAATAGGTAAAGTGAAACTCCCTGGGTCCTTGAGTTTTGGTGGAAATTTATTTTGTAGCCTTGCATTGCTCACCTCANATAGTAGTGTGTAGAGTGTCGACCACACGAGAACTATGTATTCAATCAAGTTCTAATTAATAGCAGCATTAATTGAATAGCAAATAGGGTTTAAATTTTCTATACTAATATCTAAATTATCGATTAAACTAAAAAGCAATTTAACTGGTTTAATTTCAAATATTTGAAAGTATTGTTAAGATGTCGAATCCCCCTTATTAATTCATTTTTAGCACAACAAATTTGACAATTTGTAATTATTCTTGTTGGTCAGTGTTCGCAATCTAATTGAAAACATATCTCGATAGTTACAAATATATTCCCCTCATGTGACATTCATATCTCTCTATGAAAGATGCGAACATGATATACGCATTAAACGATCAAGATACCTATGAAAATCATGTAAAATATAGATGTATATCTCTATCATTTATCGAACTTTACAATGTTTATTATTTTTAGTTAAAAACCCATTATCTCTCACGATAATAATAGATTCCAATAAATCATCTCAATTAGTAGCTAATTAATTGAAAAGTTGGTGAAAACAATAATAAACATCCAAGAAAATAAACATACTAGTCGTTAAAATAATTAATTCATATTAAAAATTTCAAAACAAGGATTCATCTATATCTTAATAATGTAAAAATATAGCCTAGCGTAATATCAAAATTAAACACGCAAAAGTGGAACAACATCACCGAAAATTGACAAAACGTGATTATGAAGCCGCCTAATCTTCCTTCAATTCCCAGCCTCTGTTTTTCTCCTCTGTGTCGATTTCCTCTATGTGTGTATGTGTGTGTATCTCCTTCTTGTAGCTACAATCTGTGTATATATATTTAATAAATATTTCAGCAACTGCCCAGTTTTTTTTCTCCAAAGCTACCAATTTTTGTTGTTAATAGAAAAGTTCTATTCCCGACCTCCTCCTTTTTTCATTTTTTTTTGTTCGTATATATATATATATATAATCCAACTAAAAGCCTATCCAAGTTGAGGCCCAATTAGTTAATGTTTGCTATCAAAATCCTCAATTCTTTCATGTAATACAAATTAGTCCATTTATTCCCTATCTCCTCATTTTGATCCTCCAACTTTTATTCAAATGAGATTTAGTCCTCAAACTTCCATTTAACAGCTAATTGATCCTCTTTAACTGCTTTGAAACTGATCCAACGCTGAAATAACAGAAAATCACCCTAAGTTAATATGGTCTGAATAAGTGTAGAAATTACACTTATCATATAATATATTAAATATCACATGAAATGATAATCATTTTTTAGAAGATTTTAATCTTACTACAATTCAATTATTTAAATAATACATTATTTTTCATTTTTCAATATGTAATAAATATTACAAAATTCTTGTCATGCATGAATTTCGTGTTATTAATTCTCAATTAATTAGAATTCACATTAATCTAAACTCAATGAATCTTCACTTTATGAATCTTGATCTACATGAGTTTAGAGTTATTATAAATGAATTTATTTCTATTAATGTATTTAGGAATTTTAATGGGAGTTTAAATTTATTCATTAGCAATTAATTCTTATGCATCAAATGTAATATGAAAATATTGTTCATTTGTAGTATTTCACCACCACAAAAAATTGAATCACAGAAGTTGAGTTTTGAAATTACAATTTTCTTTTCTTAAATTTATATCCTAAGTGCCCGTTTAACCCCCATTTCACAATATAATACTATTCCTTTAGAATGTGTGGTTAGAAAAGAATGAAGAATTTTTGGGTTTACGTATAATATTATTTTATTAGAGAATATGTTGTTCATAAGAATAGAGAAAAATGGATTATAATTTAATGGATGTCAAATGGGGGCTAAATTTTATTTTATTTTTTAGTTCGTTTGAGACTCATCAAATCCTTCGAACAAATTGATATCAAATATTACTTTTATAACTCTTATAAAGTATTTCAAAATAATGTGTAATACACATTCAACTCTGACTAGTTACACAAAAATGACAAGAAAATATTATTTGTTGCAAGGGCGAGGTGTAATTCTCATTACGTAGAGGTCAAGTGTTCAATTCCTCTAAACTTAAAATTTTCATATAGAAATTTTGAGATCAAGGTCAATTGAGCTGGATGATTTTTATTTCAAAACATGTTTGGATGGGTGTAACTAAGAAACTTACTTATTCGACAATAAAATAGAGATTATTTGTAATGTAAATATCTTAATTATTTTAATTTACACCAACAAAAAAATTGTTACAAAGAATTTCACAAAAGGTGAATATATACACCACACTAACAAAGAGAAATTATGGCTAGTAAATTAGTACTTAGGCCTCACTTCAATGCCTTGTATAATGAGTCCTCCTTTAAGTTGATGTCCCTTAATCTCCATCAAACGCATTGTTACTACCTCATCACTCTCACTGGTAAAAAATTCTCCAAGTTCAATTTCCAACCACCCATCTTTTCTCTTGCTAGGTAATTTTTCGTCGCCTTCGTTCACTCTTCCTTTCAACATTTGAATGCGATTCCAGTACAACAAGTTCTCGAGCTGTTGTTTCTTGCTATCCGGTTCGCGTAAATATGTCGTGTTGGTGTCCAATACGCGATCACCGGCCATAATGGAGGTTTCACAAGGTATTGAGTCGAGCCCAAATGCACGATCAGAAATTTTGATTTGAAGGTAAGCCTTGTACGTTGTGTGTGGAGATAATATTCGAGTTCTTATCGTGCCTTGAATTTCTAATCGACCTGATGTTTTGAGTTCAGCCACCTCTGCGAATCTGTAAACGTACATGCAATCAAATAAGAAAATCAATATTATTTACATGACTAGTAAGTTAAATTAGACATGACTCTGTATGACTTTTTTGTTATCAATTTTCAAAACCCGAAAAGGCGAAAAACTCAAATAGATGGAAGAAATATTAAAGAAAAGAACAGAGAACAGATAATCAACCTTGAATTTGTGATTGATTTCCAGCTCCAACTGTTTTGTTCATTGCTATATAAAATAGAAAGTTCTCTAGCAGAGAGTATGAAAGACTTTAGGCCACTAGATTTCTCTAATGCAAAGGCCTGCAGAATATACAAAAGCAGTTAATCTCTGAGCAAATATGATTGGAAATACTTACTTATAAGCTAAGCCAAACACGCTTAAATGACATACCTTGCTACCACCATCTATGAGGATGGAATCAGAAAGAATGAAAAAAAGCTCTTTTTTGGAAGAAAACCTTAAGGGTGTGTCTGATCTAGCAACTATGTCCCAACAATCACAAGGCAAGAATCTATCCCAAACAGTGTCCGATTCGGCTGCCGGTCGAACCGCCAGAGAAACCAGCAACATTCTGCAGGCATCCTGAGGGGTGGTGAGGGATAAGATAGTAGAAAGACAGTCTTCTGGAAGGATTTTGATATTTGAACAAGCCATTTCCATGCAGAAATAAAACTGTATGTATAGATGAGTTTCGGATCTGCCTTAATTCTAAATAAAGAAGGTAAAATATTTAAATTGAATATCAGTTCAAAGATATATCCATATTTATAATCAATATTTGACATTTCTATTCAATTTTTTAAGGCTGGTCAGAGTCTTATCTTATAGAGTTGACATTCGTCAAAGTCAAAGAATGGGTTGCCACTCGTCTTAGATTAGTTAAGACTCGCAACATTTTTGCGAAGAATCATACAAATTTTGGGTCGGTTCGGTTCTGAAGAGAACCCAACCGAACCGAACCATGTCCAACCCTAATTGTATAGGTTGAGCACTAAGACCATGCTTTGCTAAACCTAAAATATACATAAACTTACTCTGTTTGTTTTTTTTTTTTTGGGAAAATAAGTACTAAAACTTTAGGGGAAAAAAAAGGAAGCAATTCTTAAAGATAAGCCAAACATGCTCATTTTCTGCCTGAATTAATCTACTTGTACATTATTTTTATACATTGAGTTTGATATCTCTCTATTTGTAAGAAATCTGACTAGTGATTTGAATAAATGTTGTTAAAATCAATGACATTATACCTAACACAACAAACTATGTCGACCAAACAATCAAACTTAATGTACAATGTAGCAAAACTATTTCTACATTTTCTTTTGCAGAAGGAAAAAAAATTAGTGTGCGTAAAAGTGACTTGTATAAATCGTAAAAATGTACATTTTCTTGGGTATTTTCTTTTTCACATCCCTTTTTATTTTAGTCGTAAAGTGGGAAAAGAATGTAAATAATTTGACCCAAAAATATGGAACAGTGATTCACACGTTTAATTGGATGAAGCGATGTCTACAAATCAAATGCGTGTTCTATAAACTGAGGCCCGCTGCTAGTTTTTGACCAAATAAAGTGTTCTCTGTTGCCTGCTGCTAGTTTTACAATTAAAACAAGTTTCAATGACAAGAAAACGTTATGCCAGGATTACATTACCGTGGTCAAATTCCATAGATAATGTTATGCACATGTTTTTCAAAAATTTAAATATTTAATTAAAAATAATAGAAGAATAGTAGGTATGCCTTTTCTCCTACAGTAGTAATTTTTTAACTTCTTAATGCGAATGGAACCAACTCCACTTGTGTATTCATCCTCGTCCCATAGAGTTGCCTCTTTCGCCTTATCTATTCCTTCCTTGATTGAGAATCTATGTGCTCATTTACCGCTCAACCTTAACTCCTATTTGGTGCCGATTAAAATTTAGATTCTAAATCAATTATTCGTTTCAATCACATATTTTATGGGTCCTACAACTTTTTAACCACACATTTTAGTAACTTCTATCAACATCTACTAAGAATCTGATTCTAATCCCTACCAAATGGGTGCTTAATTTGTACATACGACCTAATGCATTTGCGCCTTAAAGGAGGAGAATTATTTCTACGTAACAGTCTGGCCATGAGTCGATCTCGAGTTTAGGCACATATTTACGAGCCTATATCGGTCGTGCTGGTTCATACATGAAAGGGTTGGTTCGAATTGATCCAGCACAATTACACCGCTAGCCTTAATTGTTCAAATTAACAACTTATTCAGATAAAACACTATTAATGAACTATTACATAGGTTTAAACTTTTGGACATTAGGTCCCTGTTTGACACCCATTTTGTTTGAAAATTATTTTTAGAATAGTGATTAATGGAAGATTGTGTGGTTAAAAAGTAAGGAGAATTTTTGGGTTTATGTGTAATATTATTTTATTAATAGAATGTGTGATTGAAATGAAAAATGAGAAATAGAATGAGAAAATCACTATTCAAAAATGCATTTATCTCTCAAAATTGGGCCAAACAAGAACAACGTATTCAGATAAAGAATTATTAGCGAACGGTCACATGGGTTTAAGTTTTTAGACATTAGATTGCAATAGTACGAGTACTTCAAACAAGTTCATTTTTGTTCATTGTATTATACTGGATAAGGATCATTTTTATTTTGCATGTGGCGTTTGATATCAACAATACTTGAATTATATTTATCCAAATAGATTATCCTTCCTTAGTCACGCCTTGTGGACTCAATCCACGTTATCGATCAATTAAAGAAAATAGAAAGTTNTTTTCTCCTACAGTAGTAATTTTTTAACTTCTTAATGCGAATGGAACCAACTCCACTTGTGTATTCATCCTCGTCCCATAGAGTTGCCTCTTTCGCCTTATCTATTCCTTCCTTGATTGAGAATCTATGTGCTCATTTACCGCTCAACCTTAACTCCTATTTGGTGCCGATTAAAATTTAGATTCTAAATCAATTATTCGTTTCAATCACATATTTTATGGGTCCTACAACTTTTTAACCACACATTTTAGTAACTTCTATCAACATCTACTAAGAATCTGATTCTAATCCCTACCAAATGGGTGCTTAATTTGTACATACGACCTAATGCATTTGCGCCTTAAAGGAGGAGAATTATTTCTACGTAACAGTCTGGCCATGAGTCGATCTCGAGTTTAGGCACATATTTACGAGCCTATATCGGTCGTGCTGGTTCATACATGAAAGGGTTGGTTCGAATTGATCCAGCACAATTACACCGCTAGCCTTAATTGTTCAAATTAACAACTTATTCAGATAAAACACTATTAATGAACTATTACATAGGTTTAAACTTTTGGACATTAGGTCCCTGTTTGACACCCATTTTGTTTGAAAATTATTTTTAGAATAGTGATTAATGGAAGATTGTGTGGTTAAAAAGTAAGGAGAATTTTTGGGTTTATGTGTAATATTATTTTATTAATAGAATGTGTGATTGAAATGAAAAATGAGAAATAGAATGAGAAAATCACTATTCAAAAATGCATTTATCTCTCAAAATTGGGCCAAACAAGAACAACGTATTCAGATAAAGAATTATTAGCGAACGGTCACATGGGTTTAAGTTTTTAGACATTAGATTGCAATAGTACGAGTACTTCAAACAAGTTCATTTTTGTTCATTGTATTATACTGGATAAGGATCATTTTTATTTTGCATGTGGCGTTTGATATCAACAATACTTGAATTATATTTATCCAAATAGATTATCCTTCCTTAGTCACGCCTTGTGGACTCAATCCACGTTATCGATCAATTAAAGAAAATAGAAAGTTACAAAAATCTATCTCGAAGTGTGTGGTGAATATGGAATCGCTCCTTTTAATTTCAAAAATTAGATACTCTTTAAAGTTTGTTTTAAACATGAATAGATTCCGTTTGAAGTAATTATGCTAAGCTATGTTTGATTCACCGTTATTTTACATAAAAAAATGAAAAAGGAATTCCAACTTTCACTTTTTGAGTGTTTGATAGCTTTTTTTTTCTAGGCAATTTGTTTTCTTGGTTGTGGCTTTCACGTGCCACTTCCTCTGACCTTTTTTTTTTTTTTTTT